ATCTCCTTATCGCTAACAAAAGCAAACTTTACTTGTCCTACATTTTAAATAATACGTGATGTCGAAAAGTTGAAAGAATGAAATATATGTTCGGTTAGATCTGACTCATCCATAAGGTAATTCAGTTTTCCTCCTCTACTTTAAAAACATGTATATTATCTAATTGTATTAAATTAAAAATATGTTTATCAGAAAAGTATGTTGTTTTCAATTGGGTTATTTATGTATATATTTTCATGAATGTTTTAGAATGAAGACCTTTTTCCTGCCAATATTAAAAGTTATTGCTAGGTTTAAGGGTCATTAACAAGTTTAACAAAAAAAAGGATTGCTAATCATTGACAATTATGGTTAATACTATGAATGTAAATGGTATGGTCGAGAAACAATTGGGATTTACTAGGTTTAACTTCAATAAATTTTTTTATGGCTCTAAAAGAGATATGTGTATTATGTTTTCTGTATATTTGGGTGTTAAATTGATATGAATTTTTCGAAATGTTAGTTACATTAGAGTAAATGATAGAGGTGATGAATATAAAAGTAATTTGTATTTTACTTCTGTAATTGCTTAATGAGGAGAACAATTGTAATGATCAACGCAGAGATGGCATCGCTATTTGCTCGACTGGATTTAGAGTAACGATTTTTATCGATTTACAATGCATTATGCTTGAGTGTTATTAAGCAAATTAGACAAAATGGTTTAATCTTTAAAATTGACTATCAAGATTCTGGAAGACACGTTTAAAATAATTTAATATTTAAATCTATCTGTTGTCTTTCTTATTAGATGATAGAATAAAATTGAGATTCATGTGTGCATTTTGTACAATGTTCAAACGTATGCTGTTTAGATTCTAATTACTGTTTCGAACCATGTTATAGCAGCAAAAGTTGTTCACTTCTTTCAGTATTCCATATTTTTTAATGTTTAAATTAGCTACTTATAAAAGTGCAATATTGTCTCAGTGGTCGTTTGCTTTATTATATTATTCACATTACCTCCAATTATGATTAACAGTTTAAACTTTATTTTATCATTAACTGTAATAACTATGTGTTAACGTTACAAGATAATATAGTTGGAGAAGATTTTATATGATGCGTACTACTTATTGTAAATTAAATTTAATTGTAATTGTAACTTTTTTTTTAATATATAAGCTTTGGTGCAGTATTTAATGTTGTCAAATGGTATAGTTTGATGCGAAGATGTTTGCCGAATGAAGAATTTGGCAGAAGACTGTGTTTATACATTAATGAATAAAAAAAAGAAAAGAAAAAAAAGATTGAGATAAGGTTTGAAGAAAAGATTATTATGAACAGAAAATCCAGATTTTTACATGTTAATAGTTATAATTTATTTTATTTGTGGATTCTTGTCTTCTAATGTTATTAATATTATTTACAGATAGTGTCAAAATATATTACTTATTCCTTTATGTTTTGATCTATTAATTCAACAGTTACAGACCCCAAAATTACTTTAATGATATTGTGTGATATTATCTCTTATCCTATTCCTAAGTTTATTTATGTGAAAATTTACAACTCAAATCTTCTAATTTATACCTTATGTCTTATCATTGTTGTGATATTAGTTCATAATTGGTATATGAAGGTTTGCTGATTTTATAGAGAAGCATCTTTTTATTTTTTCCATTTTATATACATTCTAAGCACAATATGTCGGAAAAAGAAGAGAGACAGATTGAAGAAAAATGACCAAATAAGGAATATTAAACTACATAGCCTTACACATTTTTCTGCAAATGTTTTTGGTTTGTTATTTATTAATATATTTCTCTTACGTTTCGAATGATTGTAATACCATGTAAAAAATAAATTACTTACCTAGTAATTATTTTATTTGCCTTTTCTTTATTGCTCCTAATTTGGATGGCTTTGTGATAAAAAGTGATCTCTTTAGCCCCTCCACTCTGTTATAGTTCATTTAGAATATAGGAAGGTTTTGAAATTTAAAGCAGATTGTATTTTCTTGAGAAAGGAATCAAATATATTTGACTTCATCTGTCTTGTCATGACTACGAAAATTAAATATTGCAAGACTGATAAGCCTGGTAAGTAACAATTTCTTAAAGCATTTTTTAAATTTTCCATTTTGGAACAATGCAGTTAACATACCCCATTTTAATAAAATGGTGTTTAGATTTAAGTTATTAGAGTGCTACCATTAGGTAGTTACTCAGCAAGTGTATTCATGTCATTATATCAATTATGTCCAAATTTACTTGATGTATTTATGTAATACAGTTGTAAATGTCATTAAGAAATAAAAAATAAAAAAAAGATTTAAGTTATATTTATATAAATATAAATATTAATTATCTCAGTAGATAATAATAATAAAAAGTTTATAACTTTTAAAGAAAATATTTTATAAATAAGATATTGATCATAACTATGGTAATAGTTTTGTTTCTGATGTAGAAATCAACATAGATTTTTATTATAAAAAAAATAGTCAACAATTTCAAAATAATATTCGTCCATTTAGTATTCTATTTGAACTTAATTAAGAAAATTGTGGTGAAGCAAATAATCTAGGTTAATGAAATAAAATTAAAGGAAGATTTTCAAGGATTAAGACAAATGGAAGAAGGAGAGGAGATCAATGAATGAGCTGGATAATGAAGAAATAAGAAAAAATATTTATAATTTCAAGATTTATGGCTTTATAATAATGGGATGAAACTCAACGAAAGGATATTAGGGCAATATAAAATATTAGGATATATGATTATTTGCTTTAATTATGAAGAAATGATGTATATAGTGAACTTGTTCTGAAATAACAAGACAAAAAAAAATTAAATCTCTCCAAAAAAAGCCCCATTGAACCCTCGCATGCATTTCTTATTTTTATAATCTAGATAGATATCTTTGAAAATTTCAGCCACAGTGGAGTCAAAGTTTTTGTCTCAGAAAGAGCACAGGCGAATCCATGGGAGAGGAGGGCTTTCAGGCTAAATTACCATCCAAAATGGTAGAATATAACCATGTTTTATGAAAAAAAGTTTTGTTCATTTAATAGGAATTACAGAATCATTTAAACACCACTTTATATAGATGGTTTACTTCCAAAGTAATTATAGTAATATATATAAATAAAAAATCTTTTGGATTGAAGCCTCACAAAATTAAATCCTGGATCCAATAGCATTACAGAGGTGGGCTGTTAGGCCTTAAACACCTTTTAAAATCAAATAGTACTGTTTATTCAATCATGGTTTACCAAAATGAAATTTTTGTCTGTTTCTGTGTTACATTGGACCTCTAAGGCATTGAGAAAATTGGTTAAACTCTGATGAGAGAAACTGGACAAGTTAATGAAAAAAACAACAAAATATATGATAAAAAGTCTAAAATTCCTCTCCAATATCAGGATCTGCTTAGGAAGGAACATCATCCTCCATAGTAAACAAATTAAAATGACTCGACTCCACAATAACCCCAATAGATTCCCAGGATATAAGTGTAGAAAGAGATTTATTCTCTTTTTCAGAGGTTTTCAAGTTAAGGGAGTATGTCAGTTATGATATACAACTAGGAGATCTTGACTCCAGCACCCTTGAATAGGAGGTTTAAGAAGAAAGTCCTCAGCACCTTAACCTGAGCTATATGAAATTAGAGTACTAATGAATGAAGATGGATCAATTAGGAACTGCTTACAGAAAGTGGTCAATCAATATTTCATGGTAGAAAGCCAAGGGGAGGGGAGAGGATCCATCAGAAAGCCTCTGTACTATGGATGCCTTAATAGTTGGCAAGGGATCATGTAGGAGCCAAAAAACAAGATTTATAGATAGAATCTAAAAAGAAATATGCTGCAAGCTGAAAACAGAAAAGCAATAGCCCAAGTTAGGCATATGTAGAGAAGAATGGCAAAGGCGGCCTAAGATTTGCTTGTTTTGTTTATTTTTCCAACACCATAGTTCTACATTTAAAATTTGGTTTATTAATTTTATTAGAAGTTAAAAAATCACACGGTGAAACTCCTTTGCCTCAGTAGGATTTACAGTAAAATCTGGAAGAGGTAAATTTTATAATTTACACCTCTTTGGAAAAATTCTTATTCCAGTTGCTACAGGTAGGTTACGCTTAGGTTTTCACTAATATCAACAAGTGGGAGGGGCGTTTTGTTTGTCAAGATTACCGGTGGTTTTCCCTTTAAATTCTGAATAAGTTTAATAAGGCAAGAAAGATTTATCGTTTTTTAGTTAGCATAAATAATGACATTAATTAATTATTGAATTACAGTAACAAGGACAAATATTCAATAATTTTTATTTAATTCGTTTTAATGTCACCTATTAAAACAAATTATTATAATTGAAACGATCTGCTTATAAGACAAATAATACTTTTGGATTTGTTTACATTTTATCCAGACATTTGAAGCAAAAACAAATCCAGTTGGATATTTAAAATTTCTTGACATACTTATCTAGTCTAGAAATAAACCTGGTTATGTTTTTAAGTTTGTTTTGATGTCCAATTCTTTTTCTTTATTCTTACAACTTTTTAAAATTGTTTTCATAATATTGTGTAGATAAAACAAGTAGTAGAGTTATAAATTTTCTTTAAAGTTTTATAAATTATTTTCTTCTTTTTCAAAATTCTATCATCCCTGAATTATCAACACAAAAACTTAGAAAGGTTATTAGATTCAATGGTCGTGTATCTCATAAGTGTGATATTTTTTTAAATTGTTATAAAAATGAGCCAAATTACTTTTGCTCTTATCTATTTTGCCAATAAATAGGAGATAGAGTTTGGTAAGAAAAAAAAAACCCTAGTTTATCAGTGTCATGTCTGGTTTGTGTATAGGTCAATATATATATATTTCTTAATGATATTTACAACTGTATTAAATAAGTACATCTAGTAAATTTGAATATATTGATATAATGACATGAAAACACTTGCTGAGTAACTACCCAATGGTAGCACTCTAATGATATGTCTACATTAGGAGATCATGGGGCCATCTTCTAGGTCAATATCAAATTGATTATACTGAAGAGGAAGTTTTGATGACTGTTCCTCTTTTTCATATACTCTTGGAAACTGTCAGCTTAAAGATTTCAACCTACACTTTAATTAGTGTGTTTTTGATCCACTTGTTAGCCACACGTGGAAGTATTGAACTAAAATGTCAAGGCAGAAATTGCAGTGTTGGGACATTGTTAAGTAAGAATGTGTTTAATAATCACAGAAACACACATAAGGACTTCTTTAAATATGAAAATATTTATAAAAAAAATATGGATCCTCCTCTTTCCACACATAAAAATAACTGACTAGAAAAAAGACATGGTAAAAATTCTTGGGTCCCAGATCACTTGATAACTAGTGTTTTTTTTTTCTTTAAATGAAATTAAAAATAAAAGTTTTAATTTAATTTTGAAAATAGCATTCAGTTCTACTGAAAGATTGTAATTGGTTTCAAGCTCAGACAAATGATATTAAAATTAATGTTAACTATTGATAAAATTGATAAGAGTAATTTATACAAAAATTTTATATATTAGATATTTCTTTATTGTGGATTTTGGAGAAATTTTGTTTATGTTTACAGGATGGAAATACTTGACACGAATGGCAAGGAAGTTGAGGGAAAAGTTGTAGAAGACACTATAGAAATAAAAGAAGTGAATATTAAGCTTGAAGATAGATATGAAGAAACAAAACGTAAATTCAAATTTAATCCTAAGTTGTATAAAAAATTGAATAGAAGGTGGTTGGGGTTTTTAGTCAGTGAAAATACAAACTGTAAATAAATTAATTATATTATTATTATTTTTTTCATAAGTTTCTTACTCTGTTACTGTTATTTTGTATTTTATTGCTTTGTTAATTTCATTATGTTATCACCGACATTTTATTATTGTTTACTTCATCACTTTTATTATCTTTATTGCTTCCTCACTAGCGAAGGTAGAGAAGCTTTGTATTCATACGGGAGATGAAACAAATTTTTGTGCTCAGAATTGAAAATTTCCACTCGCATTTTACGTTTCAGATAAGAAGGATCAAATTTGGTTTGATGTTCTGTCTATCTGTAGTCAAATTAATGTGGCAGGTATATCACCTACTATCGTTTATTTGATTTTCATGAAATTTTCAGAGATTGTGCGGGTTGATGCCTAGATGGGTCCCATATCAATTTCATTAAATTTCATACAGTACTTCCGCAAATGCATTTTATTTGATATCCCGATATTTCAGACCTAGGTCGTTTTATTTGGCTCAAAGTTGAAACAAAGGTGGGTTTTGGTGAAATAATGATGCTGTATCAATTTTATTCAATTCCGTATTCAACTTTCTCTTATATATGTGAAATGTATTTTCCTTGAAAGGCCTTTGTCTCAAAAACTGCACGTTCTATTTGCTCCAAATTTGAAGATATATTAGGGATTGATAATTTAATGTATTCACAGATGAAAAATTATTGACCTTGAGATATAGGTAAGCGTAGAACCAGTGAAAATGGTGAGAAAGCTATACTAGCCTTGCTAGGCAGATGGTTTTTTATAACTTCCTAAATTTGTTCCATTATTTCATAAGTCTCTAACTTTGTTCCTGTTATCTTATGTATTCAGACTTTGCTACCATTATTTTATAATTCCTAGCTTTGTTACTATTACTTTATACTTCTTCAATTTATATATCATATATTTACCATTTACCTACATATTATTACTATTACCATCTAGTTTTATCAATATTTATATGTTATCATGTCTTTGCTTAGCCCTGATGAAGGCCTGCAACTTTTTTTTTTTTCACTGACTGAAAACTGCAACCAACTTCTTCTCAATATATATACTACAGTCAATTATCAATTCACTATATCCAAAATTAGTTTATTTTCTTCTTTCTTATCTTATCTATTTCCATTAGAGATTTAGAGAAATTTAATGTGTGTTTACAGTGTGGTGGAGATATTGAATGAGTTTAGCAAGGAAATAAAAGGAGAAGTTTTAGTAGACCCTGTAGAAATAAAAGAAGAAAATATTAAGCTCGAAGATAAAGATGAAGAAATTGAACGTAAATTCAAATTTCAATAATATTTAGGTACACTTAGACATTTCACAAATTATGTGACAAACAAATATATGAATGGTTATTTCACTATGCTAGTATTTTTTTTTTTTTTTTAAATTCTCCATTTGCTGTTCGTATCAAGAGAAATAAATTATCTAGTTTGGTTTAGTAATGATGTCGCTGTTAGTTTAGTTAGATAATTTTGTTTTCTATAGTTTGTGAAATGTCTAAACGCTCCTTTTAATTATTCCATTTTATTACTATTATTTAGTTGAAAATCCCTTAATAAGAGTTATTTTCCAGGAATATCTCGTGAAATCCCTACTTCTCTAAACAGATTTATTTTAAATGTATATTTTTAATTATCTTAAATTATTTACATTTAAAATTAAATATTTATGTTACAAATAAACATTTATGTTTACAAATGAATGTATACATTTATAAATTTAAAATAATTTTTGCTTGCTCGTTGTAAAAAAAACTGCAGCATTTTGAACGAGTTATTGTTGAAGGATTTAAAGTATTTCAAGAGTCGCCATTTTGTGTAATTGTCTAGCGTCCTATCTGGAAATAAGGTGTGGTAGCTGAATTATCCATGGAGCGTGGTAATGTTTCTATTTTTGTTACCCATACTCATATTTCATTAAATTTTGTTCTTACTGGTGGACAAACAAAAAATAGATAAATAACTAGATTTTTGCTCCACAAACTTTGGTTTAGTAATGATGTCGCTGTTAGTTTAGTTAGATAATTTTGTTTTCTATAGTTTGTGAAATGTCTAAACGCTCCTTTTAATTATTCCATTTTATTACTATTATTTAGTTGAAAATCCCTTAATAAGAGTTATTTTCCAGGAATATCTCGTGAAATCCCTACTTCTCTAAACAGATTTATTTTAAATGTATATTTTTAATTATATTTAACTACTGTAAATTATTTACATTTAAAATAAAATATTTATGTTACAAGTAAACATTTATGTTTACAATTGAATGTATACATTTATAAATTTAAAATAATTTTTGCTTGCTCGTTGTAAAAAAAACTGCAGCATTTTGAACGAGTTATTGTTGAAGGATTTAAAGTATTTCAAGAGTCGCCATTTTGTGTAATTGTCTAGCGTCCTATCTGGAAATAAGGTGTGGTAGCTGAATTATCCATGGAGCGTGGTAATGTTTCTATTTTTGTTACCCATACTCATATTCTCATATTTCATTAAATTTTGTTCTTACTGGTGGACCAACAAAAAACAGATAAATAACTAGATTTTTGCTCCACAAACTTTATAAGTGAAAACATACCTAATAAACAGCCAGAGTTTTTGTGCAATTGCATATTTTATTTGCATGATTTTTTTTAAACTACTAATCAAATATCTTTATGAATTAGTACACTGTGATGCAATTCGTCAAATTTTATTTTGTTTTAAGCTTGTTATGTGATCCGGGAACCCTTTCTTAAAATAATCCTTTATTTTCCAATAATACTCTTTTCTTCTCTCTCTCTCTCTCTCTCTCTCTCTCTCTCTCTCTCTATATATATATATATATATATATATATATATATATATATATATATATATATATATATATATATATAGATAGAGATATTATATATATATACATATATATACATATAAAGTAGATGGGTTGGCAAAGATAATTGAAAACAAGGATTATTAATGAAATGTTTATTTTCCATAGTATCAAATGCATATTGTCGGTTTGTTGTAATAAGTCATTAATTCATATAAGTATTTTGACATAGAAAAGAGTTTAATTTTATTTTGGTACACTTAATGAGTTTTTGCTTCAATATGAACATAATTGTGACAGATATGTTTCCAAAAGTAAGGCTATATCAAAAATTTATTTAGTGACTATTTTGATTAAACAATTGATGATTGAAAAATTGTATGTTCTATGAACCCTTAACTTTCACAAGAAATGTGTTCTGATTTTTGCTCGTGAAAGTAAAATTGACTAATGTTAAATTTATCATCTAAATACTTTATATTTTAAAACTGTGAATAAATATTTACAATAGAAAAAGTTAAATGCAGAAAATTACCAATTATAGTTTTACTTATTATATTATAATGTGCTAATGGGAGAACTTTTTTTTAATCAGGATATTTTTACAAAGTGTCTGACTAATGAAGCAATCATTCCTCCAAAATTTAAACGTAATATTATTTAAATTTTCTTACAATGAGAAACACATTAACTGGAAGAATGCATGAGTTAGAAATTTATTTTTGACAGTATCGTTTTGTATTTTGAGATTAACGTATTTATTTATTCTAATTAAAGCAGGAAGGACGGTTAGTTTACTTGTCATTGCATTGATTTATTAGAATCTATGAATAAAATAGGAATTGAAAAAAAAATTTTAAAAAAGCATTATGAACATTGCTTGAATTTTTATTTCGAAGTAAATAAAACTAAATTATTAATGAAAAATCGGTTTTAATACAAACAGAAACAGCCGTTTCATTTCATTTCTTCAAAAATTTCAAACCGTTGAGTTGATTGAAACCTCAGTTAATGGAATACCATATAATCAATGTCTTACAGATGTAATTTCTTTAATATTTCATATTGAACATATTGAAATATGTTGATAAGTTGTATTTTCATTTAGCAGTTGTTGCCAACCATATCTTCTGTCTAAACCAACTTCAACGAAGATCTATGGTATGTAATTGTAATGGTGGCCTCTGAGATCCTCCTCTGAAACTTAACGAAGGAGCCTTTTAAGGATATTTTATCAAATTGCATGAATATATATATATTCCCGATGAGAGCACATTGAGAAAATCGTATTTAAATCAGTGTTACAAAACAATTATTAATAAAATAAAATTAAAGATTGGAAAAGGTTATTATATTAATTTTATGTAGTAAATTTTCTTGGTGGGGTGTAACGTAAAAATGGACCAACAAAACCTTATCTTGAATACTCAATGGTTGAACGTTGTACATTATTGAGTAAGGAGATGGTCATAAAAAGACTAAAATATTTGAAAAAATCTCCCTCTCCCAACACTCCTCATTTAGAGTATTTATTTGTAGAAATATCCTGAAATTTTATGCTGCCTTAAAATCCTCCCTTTTTACCTATGTTCCTTTATACAATAATGTTATAATAACCAATGACTTCAACACTAACATCTCACTCTCCCGACAAATCATATCTTGTAGACCTAATCCATTCCTTTGACCTATTTATCATTCCCTTTCAACCCACTCACCATACTTAATTCATGAGTATATGTCTCAACCTTTTTATAATTGATTCCTCTCAAAATTTATTATCTTCCTCTCATATCGTGAGCTCATCAAAATATCCTATAACGTCCCGACTCCTAAGTTCATTCCTCAGCAAATCACATGGCGCCATCTAGGCTCATTGACTGCTGAAAAACTAAACCCTTTCCTCGATCTATTAGCCCAATCCTTAAATCCCATCTACTCCTATTCTTGAATAAACACGCACCCTTAAAGACCACTTCCTTCAGACGCCCTGCTGCCAAATATTTGAACGTTTCTACTTTTTCAAATTTGTATCTACCAACTTGGATGGTTGGATCAGTATGACGGCTGTCAGTTGTCTTTTCTTCACTGACCACAAGTTCCTCTAGCGAGCTGTAGGCGTCCGCCACAGATGTAAAGATTTTCCCAATAGTACATATATCATCAGTGTAGGCTAATTGTCGAGTGTTTTTTATGAACATAGTGTCTTTTGTTTGTATACCAGCATCTCTCACTATGCTTTCTACTCTTAGATTGAAGAGAGTGCATGCTAAAGTATCTCCTTGTCTCAAACATTGTTCGCAGTTGAATTTGTTTGACGAATCTCCTTGCACTCTAACATCGCAGCTGGTTTCCATCATAGTCCCCCTGACCAATCTTATTAGCTTTGGCAGGATTTCAAGTTTTTTCATTTCCATATATAAGATCACACCTCATTTTAAAGAAGAACTCAATGTATTTTTTATTATTGTGGATGAAATGGTTGACTGTAGTGAATAATGAAGAGAAGAATAGTTGAAGTGATCAGTCAAATAAGAAGGCAAAAATAAATGATAATATTTATTTTGACATTTGCCGACGTTTCGACCTGAAGTTCAGGTCTTCATCAGGGCTAAGAAAAGAACCAGATAACAAGGTATGAGAAACATAAAAATTACAGTAAAATGAAGTTGTTAGAATAATGACAATAGTGAGAACTAAGAGATAAATAAGAATAACCGTTACAAGGTGTGGAATGATGAAGTAAACATAATCAAAAAAGGTGACATAAGTATTAAAATGGGAATCTTAGAATAAAGTGTAAAACAGAAAAAAAGGAATATGAAGTTATATAAGAATGCCTGAACTTCAGGTCGAAACGTCGGCAAATTTCAAAATAAATATTATCATTTACTTTTGCCTTCTTATTTTACTGATCACCCCAACTATTCTTCTCTTCTTATTTTTTATCATTTTATTTTTCAAAAGTGTATAATTATAATTTTTCTTACTGTACATAGTTTTAAATATTTTGTATTTAGTTTTTTTTTTTTTTTGTATATAGCTTGTTTAACTAATATTTTCTTTACTTTCTCTTTTTTTATTATTTTTTTATTTTTGCCAGATGTTGTCTTTTAATTATGTTCTATTTAGTTATTCTAAAGGGACTTTGTCCCAGAATAAAGTTATTTTCTATTTCTAAAGTTTCTCACCAAAGACTCTCATGCGACGCCCTGAAGTCTACAAAAAGTATATCTGAAAAATATCTGGATAGCAAGGCTGAGTAGGGCGGGCTACATCGTACGGATGGATGAGACTTCAACCCCAAAGAAGCTGCTCAGCATGGAGCCGGGTGGAAAAAGAAAAGTGGGCAGACCAAAACTAAGATGGAGTAAGTGCTGATATCAGAATCCTTGAAATCAGGAACTGGTGGAGGGCTGCTGAGGACAGAGAAACATTTAGGAAAAGTCTTGAGGCAACCAAGATCCATTAATGGATTGTCGAGCTCAGGATGATGATGATGAGAAAAAGCAACTTATAATTGTCCATGAGAAGCAATTCATCTCTAAATTTCCAAAGAAAAAATACTAAATGTTTCAAACATATTTCCGCACCAAATCACCCGATTTTAGTGATAATTTTTTAATTTACAAGGAATTCAGGAAGCTTTCAAATAATCATCGGTATTATCCATCAAACATTGTGTACTTTTTGAGTTCTTTGCAAATATAGTTCTGAATCCATCTTTTTTTCATACTCTTTTTGTGGTAGCTTCTTATATACATAACTTAAAGGGCTTCAAGGAGAAGACTTCAGCCAAGTTTAATTAAAATTGTTACAGTGGTTTAGGCACTACAGTCTATAGTGACACACGCTTTTTGGCCACCTTTCCAAAACAGAAGGCTGGCTGGTGATTAAATATATATAAAAACACTTCTGAATACGACAGAAACGTTATGTCAAAATTTCAAAGCAATCGGTGAAGAAGTTTCAGAGATTGGCGGTTTTGAACAAATGAACATTTACGTTTTTATTTATATAGATATGGTTAATGGTTGTATTAAACTAATAATTAATGTCAATATTAATTGTTAGGGAAATAGCAGCTCTTTTTATATAATCTAATCTCGTAAGTGCTGCACCCAAGAATGCTGAGGGATTGTATAACAGCAGTCTCTCAGTATTTGTAGGTTTTACCTCTTTTCTGTTACCTACTTAAAATATACATGTATGTTATCTATATTTTTTTAGTGTTCTTTTCATTGAAGTTTTTGAGAAACTTTATGTATGTTTACAGCGGCAGAGATATTACATGCAAGTGATGAGCAAGTAGAAGGTTCATCTGAAATGAAAAGAAAGAAAATTAAGCTTGAAATTGGAGGTGATGTAGAAAAAAAACTTGCATTTAAATATCATTACTCTTTAATTATTGTGTTTTATTCCTAATTTATTTGTTTTTTTGTTGAAAGGTGGGAATTCATGCAGACCAAATGGGCAACCATTGTTGACTCCAATCAGACATCGTATGTTGACAATTTACTAATTCTTTATCAGCTTTTGTTAAACGTAAACTAATGCTTGTTGTTGTTTTGTTTTTTTGTTTTTTTTATGGGCTATAACATTTAAAAAATCCATTATTTTCCCATTAAATAAATAATCTGGTGCAACAACTTTAACTTACCGATCTACTATGAATAGAAATTATTTTCTGGCAATGCTGGACTATTATTAATTTTTTTGAAGTGCATTTTAAACGGAGCTAAAGCTTAAAGTTTACAGATAACAAGTCATTAAGACCCAATAATTACAAAATGTCTATTTAATATATCGACGACAGGCAATAAAAATCTAGTCACTCCATCTGCTTTAAACCACACAACTTTCTTTGCTTTTATAAATATCAGAATGACTAACTTCAATTTCAATGTTTTTAAGCGAAGTCATTTTAGTGATGTTTTTAGTTGAAAAAGTTATCTATGCAGACAATGAGTAAGTTGATTCCGGAGGTGGTGATTGCAGTGTTGAAATATAGAACTGAGAATAAAGGTATAAATTTAGGTACTTATTTCTTATGAAAAAGGTTGTTAGGAAAGATACTTTATTAAATATCTGTAGAAAAAAGGTTTTTTTAGTCTCAACAATTAAAAAAGTATATTTTAAATTTATCCAAATTTTCGCCTCTTCAGGGAAACAAACTAGAGACCATATCTTTCCTCCTAGTTGTCCGATCTGAACAATTTTTTTTTGTTTTTTTAGGAAATTCCATAAACTTTTAAAAAACCATATACTACATCCCAAAAAAAGTGTATACTTCTTTTTTTTTTTTTTAGGCAATTTAAATACCTTTGAAACATCTTATTACAATATCCCAAAAAAAATGTATACTTTTTGAGTTATTTGGAATTTAAGTTTACCATATCTTGTAACTTTTTTTCCAGCTTCTTTTTGTTGAAGTATGTTATATAGATAAATTTAAAGGGTGCCGAGAAAATGACTTTAGCGAAGTTTCATAATTGGTAAATGGTTGACTGTCGTGGATAATGAAGAGAAGAATAGTTGGGGTGGTCAGTCAAAAAAGAAGGCAAAAATAAATGATAATATTTATTTTTACATATGCCGACGTGTCGACCTGAAGTTCAGGCCATCATCAGGGCTAAGAAAAGAACCAGATAACAAGGTATGAGAAATATAAAAATTACAGTAAAATGAAGTTGTTAGAATAATGACAATAGTAAGAACAAGAGACAAATAATAATAACAGGTACAAAGTGTGGAATGATGAAGTAAACATAGTCAAAAAAGGTGACATAAGTATTGTAAAGGGAATCTTAGAATAAATTGTAAAACATAAAAATATAAAGTTATATAAGAAATGGAAATAAATAGTAAAATTAAGGTAGAGTGAATAGAATATTTAGATAGAAAATTGAGATGTTGTAAAGTCTATCAATATGTACAGACAAAGTATGAAATAATAAAGAGTTAAAACAGAGAAACGGAATGAAAGGAAGGAGGAGAGAAACTGAGAAGGTTGAAATAAGAATGAGAGTAAGGAAGAGAAATGATAACAACCTGACTGCTCCTAAGGTAAAGATGCAATGATCGTGTTATTGAAGGATGGAGGTGGATAGAAGGGATGTACAGTGGCGTCATCTCCAACGGTTATCTGACGAAGTTTGAACTAACGTATCGGAAGCATAAATAAGAACGAGAGATATATTATTCATAAATATTAAGGAATAAAACGAAAGTTGATTGAAAGAGGCAATAAAATAAATTTATAATAAATAAATTGAAACGAATATAGAATAAATTGAAACGTCGGCATATGTAAAAATAAATATTATCTGAGAAGGAGTTAGTCGAGGGTGCGGTCAAATAAATAAAAAATTAAAATATATTAATTATTTTACTAGGGCGTAGGCGTAGGCGCCCTGAAGACGACCTGCAAAGTGGGTCAAAACGTCGGCAAAAATTAAAATAATTAATATATTTTAATTTTTTATTTATTTGACCGCACCCTCGACTAACTCCTTCTCATATTATATCAACGGTCAACCATCTGTACATCAATAAATATTATCATTATCCTTCTTTTTTGACTGACCACCCCAACTATTCTTCTCTTCATTAGCGAAGTTTCATTGAAATCAGTACATTCGTTTAGGCGCTATAGTCTATAGCAACGCAGTTTTTTCTGCATTTTATTTTTTCTCCTTTATTAACTTATCAAATTCTTTCAAAAGTTATATGTAGCATTTTTTCGTAACTCAGATAAATGCGAAATGATTAACTTTTTAAAATAAACCATATTAATTGTACTTTAGAGGAAGACGTATATGAACAATGGGTATTTAAGCCGTGTAAAGTGACATCAATGGGGATAAGACCTAAATGATATTAAAGACCACTTAATTATACAATGATACACCAAGTTTAATCAAAATCGTTAGAGCCGTTTTTGAGAAAATTGTAAAAATGTGTTTCAGCGTTGATATAAAGTGGCACTTCCGGTTAGATGATTTTAATGAACAAATTACTGTCACATCCAGCTCATATACAAACATTAAATACTTCATATCAGTTTCGTACTACTTTTTGTTTATGTGCTAGACTGTTAACACATACAGACAGCACACACACACACACAGACCATTTTGCGACACTTGGTTATTTGGACTCAGGGGACCTCAAAACATGTATTTCTGTTGAAAACTGAGATTCGAAAATTTTCACAATCGCAATACTTATCCTTACTATATATTACATATATACGTAAGTGAAAGTAAAAAGGGGATCAAAATTTGGCTTCCAATTACAGTGGAATCTCCTTCATTAATGCAATTGCCAAGTTATATACTGGCTTTATTCTGGCTATATGTCTGGACTGGATTGATAAAAACAATATAATTAAAGAAGCTCATACTGGTTTTATAAAAAAATATTCAACAATCGATAACATATTCACATTAACAAGTCTAATTAAATTAAAATTACAAAAGAAAAGGGAAAAATGTTATGCATTTTTTGCACATTTTTCTACATTTGATAGTGTGGATCGTTATAGTCTAATTTATAAATTATATCAGCTAGGATTTTAAGAAAATTAAGCTTGAAAATGAAGGTTATGTAAAAAAATAGCATACATTTAAATATCATTACTCTTTAAATATTGTGTTTTATTCCTAATTTATTTGTTTATTTAGTTTTTTTTGTCAAAAGGTGGGAATTCAAGGAGGCAACCATTCCTGACCCCATTCAGACGCGGTATGTTAACAATTTACTAATTCTTTATCAGCTTTTGTTAAACATAAACTAATGCTCGTTTTAAATTTTAGAATTAAAGAAGATTCAAAGGAAAATCGAAGCCTCCCGATTGGATGAAGAAGATGGGTGGATGGAAAAAAAAAACCGAACTCTAATCGAGATGGAAATGGATCATGTACGTCAAAAACAATTGTTGCAGCTTCAATTCATTAACCAGAAGCGTGAACTTGAACTAGCATTGGAAGAGGAGACGGAGAAAAGAGACATGATTTTTATAAAACAGTTATTAACACTGATGCAGGAAGCGACAGAAAAGGAGTCGAGTTTAAAACAAGAGTTGATGGAAGCGCGACGGGAGCAGCTTTTAAAAGAAAACATTATGAGAATGCGTGAATTGGTAAAGTCAGAAATTGAACTAGAAAATCTTGATTAATAACATAACATTAATTAACTATTTGAGCTTTTTTTATAAGACTGATTGTTTTACATATCCCAATAATACTTTTGTTGTCAATATATATGTAAAATTAAAATTATTGGATTTTGTTATCTTTAAAATCCTTGTCTAATGTTTATTGCATTTTACTACTGATCACATTATTCTCTATCCAACGTTTTGTCCTTTTTAAATTTATTTTCTGACAGCTAAAATTATGATCAGAATGTTTTTATTTTATTTAATAACTTATTTTTATTTAATTCTTATCAATTAAATAATAATTTTTGTTGTCGTTGATTGATAGTTGACTGTAGAAGATATATTGATTGAACAGAAGTTGGTTGGGATTTTCAATCAGTGAAAATAATCATCATCATCATTATATAGTTCCTCTTAACCGCTTTAGCAATGTAAATGTGAAAATACAGAGTAAAAATAAATAAATTATATTATATTCACTGACTGAAAACTCCTACCAACGTCTCTTCAAAACATTATTATTATTTAAAACTTATTAAATTAATATTTGTTATTATTTAATTATCAATAATTTATAGTTTATTATTATTTTTAAATTTTATATTTCAGTATTATGAGCTCACAAATTCCTAGCATCTGTTTTATGGTTAACTGTTATTTTTTGTAAATTTTATAGTTCCTCATCATTCACTGTTTCTTGCCCTGAGTACGCTATCTAATAGTTTACATCTAATATCTAAAAATTACTTTTGAGGTATCACAGTGAATTATTTTATGAGTTTTTGGAAAATTATATAAAATTATTTATCTTTGAAGCAAAGAAATTGCTTGCTTATAAAAAATAACCACTTCATTAGAATTTCAATATTTGTGGATTCTTCCCTATTTTCAGAGAATTGTACAATAACAAAATATCATATCAACACTTGTATCATTATATATAAATTATATTGTACTGTTTTATATTATGTTGATTCATTTTTTTTTTTACCTTGTTTATTCCTATTAAACTTAATGTTACTGTTGTTCTTTCTGTGGTAAAACTTTGACCATAATCATTGTTGAAAATTTGAGGAAAACAAATGAATTTGTATATTTCCATAATTTTTTTTTCTATTCATATATATCCGTGCACACACTTTTATATGTACTTACAATAAAAAACAGTGCCCCACCATTTGTGCACCTTTGATTTATTCGCAAATAAAGTTCTGTATCCATCATTACTTTTTAAAAAAAAAATATTTGAACCTACTTCGCTCCTTTGATCATTGCAAATTGTTTCATTTCAACATTAATTTTATACTATACCAATATGTCATAATAGAGTTCACCTAAAAAAATGTATCGAACATGATTCTGTTCTATTTTCATTTTGTTGCGAATTCAAGAAGCTTTCATCTAATTATGGGTTTCAATGTACCAAAAATTGTGTACTTTTTGAGTTATTCGCAAATAAAATTTTAAATTCGTCATTTTATTTATTTTATTTTACATTAAATTTGCTACTGCGTTCTAACTTATCAAGCAAATGTGTTGCCCTTTATTCTATCTTGATCTTTGTTTAACTAGTCAGCAGGAGATCTCTATGCCACTTCTTAGTCGTTGAGGATCATCAGGTTACAGGGAAGAAGAAAGAGACAAAACGAGTGGGTTTGAATGATTGAGAGGAGAAGAATGAAATGTTGTGTACTTGTGTATGTAGGATTTTACTTTTGGTATGTTCATGTCTGTATGTATAGTGTGATTTGAAATAAACCAAGGTGCATTAACGATTTTACAAAGTATTTTGGATTGTGTGGTTTAGATTTTGTTTATGTGTGTGTTTTTCTGTTTCGTATGTCCAAATAGGTTGTAGTATGGTGGTGTAGATTAGTCGTTTGTTTTGTAAGTTGAGTGGAGATCTGTTGTCCAAAAGATATGAAAGTTGTTTATATCGTCTTATTAGTTCTTGTTTTTTAAAAATATTGTTAGTATATTCCAGATGAGTTTTTTGTGCGAGTATAATCCGAGATATTGTACATGAGTTTTTGAGGGAACTGGCTTATATTGTCTATTGTCACAGCAGGGCACAAAATCTTCCTCTTACATTACAATTATTTTTAGACTCTTTTTGGGGCAGTATGTTGCATAAATAAATTAAGAGGGCTTGAAGAAGAAGAAGTTAGCCAAGTTTCATTAAAATCGTTACAGCCATTTTGGCGCTGTAGTCAATAGTGACACACGATCTTCAGCCATCATTTCGAAATGAAAGGCCTGATGGTAATAAAATATATATAAAAACATTCCTGAATTTGATTGTTATGTTTTATAAAAATTTCAAAGCAATTGCTGAAAAACTTTAGGAGATTAGTGGTTTTGAACTATATATATATATATATATATATATATATATATATATATATATATATATAGAGTTTCCATTTTTTTTTATTGATAATACTAAAGATCATCTATAGCTACAAAACAAAGCAAAAAAATGTTAATAAACTGAGGAGAAAAAGGTTCTGAGCTGTTTTTTCTTTGCCAATTTATTTAATGATTATTAAGTGTCGGCTATTACTCTTTATTTATCCCTTTTAACCCACATATTTGAATGAAAAATGGTCCAACTCAAATACTAAGACCATTCATAAATACTTCTCTAGTAATTTTGTTATATCGTTTAATGGTAATTGCTGTTGAACTTGAAAAGTATTAAATAGTTGATATTTTCAACTTGTTTTTAATTTTGTTGCTTATTAGCATACCCAAATCGTAAATTATTTGCTGACATCATTTTCCATAATTAATGGGTTATACTAAATATTAGATTAGTAAAATTGTAACCAAGGTATAGTAATTCTACATTTTGTGTGTTTTATTTAAAATTAAAGTTAGCAAACTCAAATTAGATAATCCATTATTTATGGCCACACAATCATTTAAAAAGAAAAATGCCTGTAATAGCGAGTTATACTTGATTTTTATATATCTGCAGTATGATATATGAATATAGGAACTATGATATGGTTCCTGATTGAACTCTTAGAAAAAATGGGTAAGAAATTATTTTATAAAAGCTATTAAAATCTTTTATAATGGTGCTAGAGTGAGGATAAAATACAGAAATAGACTAGTAAACCACTTCCCTATTATTAAAGGATTCAAACAACGTGGTTCTCTATCTCCATTGCCTTTCAATCTAGACGTTGAAGAAGTTCGAAATGTATGGGGATGGGAATGAAAATAGAGAATGAGCGCCTTTAAACTCTATGATTTGCTGATGACCAGGATTGGATGATGAAGATGACACATGGTAAGGAAGCTCTTGGAGGAATATAAAGCAAGGGGAGTAGATATGGACAAAGAAAAACACCATATGTGATATTTAATGGAAATAAAAAAGCCTTATCCCTTAAAAAAAAAAAAGGAGGAAGTAGTTTAAACAAATGAATTAATTTAAACATCTCTCCAGATGGATAACTGAAGATGGAATATGCTCCTAAGACATTAAGGAAAAATAATTTAAAAAGTAAGATAAATAATTAGAAATCTGAATTCTGCATTGTGGAACAAGTAGGCAAGCCTAAGAAATAAATAAATAAGTATATTCTATTTCTTTTTAGAAAGCGCCACTCATCATGGATCTGAAAAGTTGGTGATCATCAAAGAAGAAGAACCAAAGTTATTATAATTGGAAATGCTGTGTGTCATTTCCAGATCCCAGCATATTCCTAAAAAAGCTATTAGGCAGAACATTCAACAAGATACAACTATGCTGTACAACATAGAAAGAAAAAGGTTGAAATGATATGGCCATTTACAAAGACTGCCAGAGGGGTGATGGCCAAAATTGGCCCTTACGTACCAACCAACAGAAAGGTGAAAAAGAGGACGACTGAGGAAGAGATAGTTGTAGGATGTGGAGGAGTGGCTAGATAAAAAGATGTGACAAGAACTTTTAGGTACAACAAACAACTAAATGTAAAAAAAAAAATTGTTAATAAAAATAAAGTTCAATTTGTATCGCTGTTCCACTATTCGAGGAGATTGAAATAAGCTCTTTGGCCAAGGTTCATACTTCGATTTTCTCATGCATTGCCTCCAGATCATACTATTTTATTATAGTTACATTAAAAAATGTAGTGGATCCTCCTGGATTACTGAATCTCACAAATGGCAATTCTTGTCCGGCCTTCAAACCACTGCTCTGATGATGACACGTATGTTTGGGCCAAAACGTAGGTAAACTCAATAAACATAATTTTTTTAATACACATCCTGTTCATTTTTCATCCTTACAATTTCAATAGTCAACTATATATCCATCGCTATTCTTTATAGTTTCTTTCAACTCCGTACTTCGTTTATAATTATTTTCTTAATGGTTAAAAATGAAAACTTCTACCAAAAAACCCTCTGATGTTAATTGTGTATTAATGCTTCTGCGAATAAAGAAGCACATTAGGGAATTTTGAGACCTAGATTTTCTAAAATATCATTTCTACAAGCTGTACTATCCAACACACGCAGTCACTAGCGGATCCAGGATTTAATTTTGGGGAGGGCTTCAGCCCGGAAGCTTTTTTTCTCATATATATAACGATAATTACGTTGGAAAAACAGAAAGATACTAACTACCTATATGAAATGGTGTTTAAGTGATTCTTGAAGCCCTACTAAAAGTAATTAAACGAGCAATAATACTTTAAGACATAATCTTTTTATATTTTTTACCATAAAACATGGTTACATTTTACCATTTTGGGGGGGCTTCAGCCCGAAAGCCCCCCCCCCGTAAATCCGCCTGTGCACGCAGTCGAGGTTTTCCACTACATCTTTTACCCACAACTTTAACACCAGCGATGGTACAACAAAAATCTTTAGACTATTTTAATTCACGAAATTTTGTTCTAGAATATTAATAATTGCATAGTTGATATAATTATAGGTCATTGTTCCACAAAGTAATCGAAGCATAACGTTTGTCCAATGTTCTGAATATAATACCATAGTGTAGCATTTCTAATTGCCGGAGTCATATAAATCAGCTAAGGCCTTTTTTTATATTGCTGACATTATATATCAGAATCCTATATATTGTTTCTAAAAGGTGTTTTTTTGTTGGTACGCCATAACTTCGTCAATTCTTCATCAAATCCAATGGTTGACTACTCATTTTGAAGATATTCTTCTCCTTCATATGCGAAAAATAGTCCAATACCCCGAAATTTCTGGAAAAAAAGTGATGAAGGAAAAGAAACTTTATTTGCGAATAATTCATAAAGCATGCATTTTTTCTTGATTGTACCTAAAAAACATTTTTAAAAAATCGTAAAAATCGATTAGAAATATGTATGGACAATTATTAACAAATATACAGTCCATTATTTTTGGTATTATTGCATTTAGGAGTAGAATAGTCTACTACATTTTTTTTTTCTAGCTTTTATATTAACTTTATTATTTCTTAAAGACATTTGGTTGTTCTTACATTGTATTTTTTTTTAATTATTTAGAAAATCCAATGATCGGGGCATTATTTTGTCTTTATTACTTTTATTATCTTTCCAGTTAGAGTTTAAAAATTGGCCCTAGCAAAGCAATTTGTACAAATATTTTGGTCTATTATGTTTAATGGAATATTGTAATCGACCAAGGAAAAAATATTAATTCCTTCCTTACATAATACATAGGAACTACTTATTTCCATATTGTTTTGCTATTTCTTCACTAAACAAAATTTTCTGCGAAATTTTCGTATGGGCCAACTAGTAAGTTTATAAAGCCATTTATTCAATGTTTTAATGTCATATTAAATAGGAATTTTAATTTTATTTTAATGAGTTTTCTGGTTATCTACAGTAATTTATAGATTCCTGTGAAAGATTCACAATCAAGAATCTCTTTTTGTCCACTAAATTCTATTAGTCGACGTAAAACGTTGGGTTGGAATTTTAATATTTTTAGTTAAAAAGAACTTCATTCTCAAAAACTGTTTTCACTAAGTTGACTTCATAGATTCCTCTAATAACATAGATAACCTTTGATGTGGTATCTTGTGTGGTTATCTTCAAGTAAACAACTGGGAGGTTGTATTTAAGGGAAAATAACAATAGTTTGAATTTAATTGTTTACGATGATGGAAGCATTTTATATACCAGTTAGGAATATTTGTACGTCAACGATTTTGAATGGTAAAAGAAATTTCAGAAAGTTTATCATACCAAGAAGAGGAACAAATATTTTCAAACAAAGACAGATGACAAATCCAGATCCTGCTATTCCACCTTATAGTATGAATTTCCATAAACTTAATCATATTTCCCGGACTGTATGTAATTTTAATAATTAATTTGTCATTGTTCTTTAGAGTCTGGTGTTAGGGAACCTAAATATAAAGTAGGAAATGAGTTTATAACGGTTCCGGAACTAATCCCTGAGCTTGTCGTTCCTGATTTGTCTGGTTTTAAGGTATTATTATTTATTTCTGCAAATGTTTTAACTTGTATAATAGAGTTATTAATGTTAGTATTATTTATACATTAAGAACAGTGTCAGTACGTCTGTTGATAGGATTTGTGTCTTTTATTAATCAAATACTTTTAAATAGTTTATTTCCTTGGAACAAAACTGCTGAGTCATTGTGTTTAAAAATCGGGTATACTAGCTCAAAAGTTTCATGTCTGGTTGACAGATGAATCTATATCGCATCGATTGTCCTGTAAATAGAATTCCTAAATTGGTCGAGTGTGTATGAAGATGAACAATCTTATTTATCTCTTGAATAAGTGTAGCAAGCCTATTACTCAACAGTAGTCAAGTGGCTACTTTCGGAATTCTGTTTGCAGTGCGATCAATTGAATCTTGACCAGCCATTCGATTAATGGATTTAACTTAATTATTCTAGAATGTATTTATTGAAGGAAGTTAATCGACTTTACTACAGATCACAGAAGATAAATAATAAATAAATTAGTACTCAGTACTTTACACACCTTCAGTAGTACAAACATGCCAACATGTTGAAATGTTGGCAACTATAAAAAAAATCGCAAAAATGAATATTGTATCGACTTCCTGATTATAATTTTTACAAAATTTTCATCATTCTGTCATTATTTGTGAATGCATTGTTTTAAGTATATACGTTTTAATGTCTAAAATATTCTTATATGTTTGATAAGGATTCAATGATTATTCACAAAAAATATTTATTCCATAATTTTTAAAATTTTCTTTATTCAGAAAATTTCCAATACTTTTCGGTCCAGTAACTGGTGCTTCCAGCAATGAAATGATGTATTTTGTTTTCATTATTAATGCCTTAATTATTGAAAGATATAATTCTTATATCTTTTGTGGTATTTTCAAATTTTAAAGGGAAACTGGGTGGCTCAGTGAGTAAAGCATTGTGATCCTCAAGAGCCCTGGTTGTGACAGAATTATTTATTTTATCTCGTCAGCCGTGGATAGACCCTCCTAGGGCACAACCAGCCTTTGTAAGGTGTTTATTCTTAATTACCTTAATGAGCAAGGGTAAAAACCTGGTGGTTGAGCATGATCTCGGCCCCATCATCTCCTTGCACTACCGTTGGCCTTGAAACAGTACTTCTTTACAAAGTAATGAACCCAAGACCCTTCATGGGTTGTATGTAGATATTTTTTTTCCTCCTGAGTTTTAAAGATCAAATATGATAAATGCTTAAGTAGTTGATATGAGTTTCTATGTAATGAATTTCCATTCATCTGAGAGAAATAAAACCATCTGCACAATAGTGAAGCCAGAAAAATATGAATTTTTAAAAATTGTGAAGTAATTCTAAAAGATTTTTTTTTTCCAGTATCTACTTTTTGTGGTACATACAGCTATGTTAGGGAACAAAGGAAAATAAAAAAGAAATTAAATATTAAAATTATTTATTGTACAATCACAGATTGAAATCTTTCATTAATTCTTCAACTCCTGTTTTTGACGAAAGTATTGCATCATTTACTCCAACGCCTTTATAGGACGCCCCTACTAACGAAAGAGGCAACTTATTTTGCTTAATATAAGAAAATATGTTTTGTACCTTTTCATGATGGCCGACAACATATTGAGCTATGCAGTCTTTCATAATTGATACATGATAACTCTCTGGATCTGTTTTAACACCTAAAATAGATTTTATTTGAGAAGCCACTAAATCTAGAATTTCTTCTTCACTCTTTTTTCCTATTTGTTCATCGAACCATTTTCCGCCTACCATCGCTGTTAATACTGTCCAATCTTCCTGAGGAAAGCTGCATGTATCAAAAATTACGCCTAATAATGGGATTTTCTGAGATGGCGGCACTAAAAATCCAAAAGCATTATGATCTATTACGTTGCCTTTATATGCTAGATTCACTACGCATACTGTTACACATGGGATACTAGCTAGATCTGCCGCCAATTTTGGATGTTCTTTGCTCAACAATGGTGCTAAATGTTTAGCAGACAAAGAACTGAATACATGCTTAGATATGATTTCTTCATTTCCAACTTTGCATTTTACAACACCTTCTTTAAAGGACAGCTCTGTAACTTTTGTGTCCAACTTTACATTTGTGCCTTGTTTAGTTATAGATTCAAGTAAATTATTAGGTAGGATACTTAAACCTCCTTCTAAACCGTAAACGTTCCAATGTTCTTTCATCGCTTTTGTAATTAAATTATCTTCTGGAATAACATTTTCTATTTTTTTCTTTGAATCTTTCATGATTCTTGAAATCATTCCTTTTAGAACGGAGCCGTGACTCTGCTCATATTCAAACAGCATAGGCATTAGAAGCTTTACACTTATCTCTTTGGCATCTCCAGCACATATACCGCATATCAATGAGCTTATGAGATAATTGGCAATTTCGTTTCCAAATCTTCGAGATACAAAATCATATATATTATCATCAGAACAAGTTTTCCTTGGTGTTAATAAGTCTCTGAAGATAGCATAATACATAGGCTTTGAAAATGGTGGCACCTTCTTAAAAATGCTCATTAAGTCAGTTGGTAGGGGGTGTAATTTATTGTTGACGTAGATTAACCGGTTCTTTGAAGCAGGGCTGTCCTTGAGGACAGGTTTGATCTTCGATTCTATTCCAAGTTCTTCGATTAGCGTCAGTGTGTTAAGGGCAGATGGAGTATTCACTCTTAGAGTTCGAGGCCCTTTTTCAAAGACGAGTCCAGTTTTCGGATCTTTGATCGACCGAACCCAACCTCCAAGCCTGTTGCTCGCTTCTAAGATATTTATTTCCTTGACTCCAGATTTCAGTAAATAATGAGCAGCAGCTAAACCACTGACTCCGCCTCCGATAATCAGCATTGCTTTTATAAATGGCTGACCTAAAAGAAAAAAAAAATCTTTTAATGCATATTAAAGGCAAGAAGAATTTAAATTATAGTAATGAATATTTGTTTGTTATTTATACTACCTCTTTGTTTTTCTTTAAAAAAAAAAAGCTATATATATATTTCTCTGTTATATACAAATGTTTTTAATATTTTATTTTTTTACATATACAAAGTGGAATAGACCGTAACAAAGACTCCAAGGTGAAAATATCTATTTAATATTAGGAGAGTGGGAGTTTACAGGAGCTCAACTTTTCACCCTAGTCCTCTAGGCTCAATAGTGCAACTCTCCTATGATTATTATTTTACAAATCATACAGCTGTTCATTTAATTACATATGTGTTGAGCTCCTGTAACCTCCTACTCTCCTAATACAAAATAAAGATTCTAGACTCGAAATTCGTACAGGAAGGAAATGGTATTTATCTGGAAGTGGTAGTTTCATTTTACTTAGGTGACAGCTGTTATTTTTCGATCTGGACATTTCCCCTTGAATAGAATATATTAATTATTATGCTATATATATAATATGTTTTATATTATATTGTGATACAATTATAATTTAAATGAATTTTATATTATATTGTGATATAATTATAATTGTAATGAAATAGAAAAAGAAGCACAATATAATGTACAATGAAAATATTAAAAATAAAAGGCTCAAATTGATGTTGGACATATATGAAGCTGGACAAGGTGAATATAAATTATGATTACAAATTGGGAATAAGCTGCAATGTATAGCATAAATTCTTAAAGATATTAAAAATTTGAACTGTGGTTTCCTTCCGTTTATTTTATGTTGATAATAAATAATACAATCTGAAATATAGCATACATGTAAATTACAGTTATACAATTTGAACAATGAGTAGTACAATTAAATGAAAAATTGTATAATTTGTAAAATGGAGATTAGACGGATAAGGGGTACCACCCAAGTATTTTAAAAATCCATTTGGAAAATAGATGAGTTTTCTTTACTAAAGAAAATTTCCTCTTTATTATGATATTGTCTTGAATGAACTTATGTTCTTAGAAGCATTAATGACCATAGACTAGAAGGATTGTTCATTATATTTGTAGATTCGCATGCAGCGATACAGTGGAAAAGATAGCTCATCTTTAGCTATACTTTCTTGTATAGCTAAACGACTTGTCCAAAAGCTCCATTCAGAGGGTATCAATATCATTATATTAGGTTGTCTTATTTGTTCTTTCCTTTTTCTTTATATGTTGTTTAAGGTTGATTTGATGTGTTATATATGAACCGTCATGCCCTATTACCTACTTCCATCTCTCAGGAAGCCTCTTACACCCTTTTTTTCAAACTTGTTAAGACACTTGCAAAATATTCGTGGAGATGCGTTTTTATTTCGATTTAGGATTTTTTTACATTTATCAGAGAAAACTTTTTAACAAAAGAAACGAGTAACAATCAGGTGGATCAAGGTCTGGGGAGTAGAGAGGATGAGGTAGAAAGTGAAAGTCCCAATTTAACTGTATGAAGTTTTGTCTTAAGGTGAATTCCACAAGTTGCGTTGACCATAAGACAAAAACTAAGGACCCTATGACAGTTAAATATTTATAATAATAATATTAAAAAATAAATAAATTTGTGAATAATATAATGCAATTTATTTTCTTTTACAGTTGAAACCTTATGTATCTTACCGTGCACCGAATGTGGTTCAGTCAGAATTTACAGCTGAGGATTTGTTCACTGCTGTTTATACAGCCAAAATCAAAACTGACTTTGAATCTGGAAAGTTAGATAAAGACGGAAACCCCCTAGAGCCCAGTGAAAACGAACTATTGACCCCGAAGGAGGCTTGGATCCGTGCAAGACAAACCGGTTCAGATATATTTTCTGAACAAAATTTAAGAGAACAAGAAGAAAAGTTTGAAAAAGACTAACTTCTTAACCAGAATAAAATAATTGTTTAACAGAATTGAAATACCTTTATAAATAACAGTTTAGTAACAAATGTACATAATAAAAATATATTAAATTAATATTTATTTTTCCATACCCAATATAAGGTAAGAGTTCAGAGACAACAACAATCACTGATAAGTTCAATGATTAGATATCTTGTCGAATGACAATCATTGCAAATGCTAACTTGTTGACCTGATAGGAGCTAGTTCAGTAACTACTCGTTCAATTAAGCATTAAATGAATGCATAGAGGTATATGGTTAATTTATTTTCTTATTCGTTCCAAGCAAATTATTCAAAGTATTCTGTTATTTTTTTTTGTCATGATTTTCACGACAATGCTCTAAAAATTAAACTTATAAGAAAAAAAGTTTTTCTTTGATTATGCAATAATTGCTGCAGGACATATTACAAAGTTCTCAAAGACTTTTATGGAATGATTCTATGGATTTTTATAAAATTAAATTTTACTAATTCAAACTAAAATAACTCCTAATCATATGAAAATATTTTCAATTCTCATAAACTTAGTTCCCTGAGAATTATGGTGTGAAGTGCAGGCAACATTTTTCTTCTGTTTAAGATCTCAACTCTGAATTCAAAGGTTTATAACCTAAACTTAATTAATATGGACTTAAAAATTATTAAATGGAGAAGTGTTTCTAAATATGGGGTAAAAGTAGTACAGTTAAGGAGTAAAAAAAAAAATCACAAATCATTAATGACTTTTTTCTTAAATGGAACGTAGCTGTGTTTGTCCACTCAATAGTACTCTTTGAATAGTTTTAACAATGACAAACTCTACTTTCGTTTAAAGTAAATTTTGTTTAGATTACGCTGGAGCAACATTTAATTACTTAAATCAAATATTTTTTAATTTATCACTTTCTATTCAATAAAAAACGTGACGCTAAAAAAAAAACACAAATCTTAAATCTCCTACGTTGCTGGTGGAAATTGGGCAATTGTTTAACTTATTTGTAGATCTTGATGTCTACTGTCAAACTTTTAAATATTTCCCTCTACATAAGGGATACCCTGCATGTAAAAAGTTTTCAGTTTGAAGTGCCCCCCCTCCCAAATTACATCCTGGATCTGCAACTGACATTAACATAAATTATTTGTATTTCTTAATTTAAATGGTGAGGAATTAATATTGACAATAATACACTTGGCAGATAATTTTTTCTTTTATTGTTGAATGCACATCTTTTTCAATTTTGCCTAATTGTTTACTTAGAAAAAAAAAATATGTATATATATATATATATACACACACACTCTTTCATTCTATTGTTTATTGTATACTCATATTTGCTATCAATGAATGCTTTTAATAGTAAAACACTTACATTATATTATACATAACACACATTAAGATTGAATCTTTGCTGTTTTTAATTTAAACAACTAAAATCCCATCTTACTCCTTATGTGTACAATGTTGAAAATTTCATGTGCATAGTAATGCTGTTTTCATGACAATTCATCTTGACAGTATTGTGTAAGACATTGCTACAATATTTGTTTTAACAATGACATTTTTGTTGGCAAAATACAACACATAGACAACCAGTAAAAATTAAAAAAACAATCAATAGAAAAGACTAGAAAAAATAAAATTTATTTACAGTGAATACATTAGACAGTTAAGAAAAATAATTATATTTACAACTGGCAATTATATAAAAAATCATATACACTAATTTACAATATACCACACTATTATGATATTTGAAAGTATAGGTTTTCGAAAGACAAAAATATTAGATTCCTTCAAATATATAGTCCGTGGTACAGACCCCTTTTTATCAAATTATTAACATCGATCTGAAACTTCATAAATACGTTCATCTCATCATAACCTACAACTATTTTATTTCTGCAAATTGTCGGAACTAGGGTAAAGCTATTCACGAAGTTTCAGGCAGATATTAATAATTAGATAAAAAGGGGTCTATACCACGGACTAATACAGTGACATAAATATAACAGATAAAAAATTTCAGTCAAACAATTAACAATTCTTTAATAAATAGGAAATGAACAAAAAGTGTTCTTCAACAATTATCCAACAGATAAATTAAAATATATTAAGGTTGATGTTTGATGGATCCAAGGGATCAGCAGGGACAGTGCCTTTGTGATGTTTATCCATGTGTTTTCTCAACGTAGCTTTGAGTCTATATCGCTTCGAACAAAAGAGGCAAGTGTAAGGCAGTTCTCCTGTGTGGAGTGTCATATGAGCCCTCAGTTCACGAGAACTCATATAAGACTTAGAACAATGATCACAAGCGAAAGGTTTCTTTTCGGCATGATGGCGTTGTTGATGATTCTTCAATTCCGTCAGTTTCTTAAATCCCTTACCACAGCTGAGACAATGGTGTTCGATGCTGCCTTCATGTCCTATAGTATGCGCCCTCAATTCTCTCTCAGTCTTATACATGCGATCGCATACATCACACTGATGCATGCGAATGCCTCCCATATGCATCTCTTCATGACTCCTTGCAGTGCTATATTGTGCGAACGTCCTTTGACAATACTTGCAAGTGTAGGGCCGTTCTCCGGTATGAATTCTTTCATGAGTTGCTAAACTGTTCAAATGAGCAAAACTTTTTCCACATGTTCTGCAATCAAAAGGTTTCTCACCGGTGTGAGATCTCATATGAGCTCGTAATCCAGATCGCCTGGCAAATCTCCTTCCACAAACATTACAACAGAAGTCTTCGACATCTTCATGAAGACGTTGATGGTACTTTAGCTCATATTTGTCATAGAACTTGCGAGGACAATGAGGACAGCTAAAAGGACGGACCCTGATGTGCTTCACTTGAATATGCCTCGTGAGAAGCCAAAGTTGTTTAAATACTTGACCACAAGTTTCACAGCAGAATTCTTTAGCCTTGTTGCTTTTCTTGACAGATTCACCTTCTTCATCATTTCCAGACTCCTCGACTATTTCTTCGTCGAAAATCATATTCTCATCAGATTGATCAGTATTAATCAAATCCCTAATCTGTAGATTATTCTCTATAAAGCTAACACATATGTCCCAATGGTTATCTAATTCATTAAATGATGAAAATACATTTTTGCAGCTAGTGCATTTGAACCTTCTCATCAAGTTGGTTTCTTCGTTTTCTGGTTCTTTACCATTCAATGATACATAACAGCCTACTTGGAACTGCTTCGCAGTAAACATTTCATTTGTTTCCCGATCATCAAATACAACTTCTTCAGATACAACTTTATCAATTCCTAAGTCATCGGGATTTTCAGTGCAATTATCATCTTCTTTATTTCGAAAAGAACACATTGAATCTTTTATTCTGAACTTCTCAGAATCATAATCATCTTCAAACTCTGGCGGATCATCTTGGATCTAAAAAATATTAAAATAAAGAACAAGTTAATACATTCATAGAATTAAGAAGGCAATTAGTCAGATAAAAATAATTTATTAATCAGTGAGAATATGAATATATCCTAAAATATTATGAATAAAAGTCAATCTCTTATTCTTTTTAAAGAAAGAGAAAAAATAAATTCAGAGTAAACAAACTACATAACAGCTATAAATATTTTTGTAAAAGTAAGACTTTTAATGAAGAAAAGATAAATCAAGCACTAAGACTAGGTAAAGTAACAATTTTTTGATGATTTTGGAGCTACTGCTACCACTTTTATAACAACGTGAAGAGATATATCAGAATTAGAGTATAATGAAACCATCGCAATGGAGGAAATGTTGGGATTTGGGAGTGTATATGAAATTCAGAGAAAATTTTGAGGTGAAGCAACAATGAACAGAGATATGCATGCATCAATGGTTAACAGGAACCTAAATCCATTTATTAAAAGAATTTCCTGTTATGATATAGAAAAAAAAATCTCTGGCAAGGTAATGATTTCTGTTATTTATTACAGAAGAGATAAACACGGTTTTAGGCAAACAATAACTATTCACTGCAACATAACTTAAATTCATGATTTTTGAGTTAATACCATAGGAACAATTGCAATGATTCCTTTTATTTTGTATATACATATATATATATATATATATATATATATATATATATATATATATATATATATATATATATATATATATATATATACATATATTTTTAAATAGTGTCGTCACTGAGAATTTAAGCACACTCACGTCTTATCTTTGTCCACAAAAATTAACATACTTATAAATTTTTTATGATACTGCAGCAAAGAAGCGAATTAATCTCTTAGATTTCTTATCTTAGTTTTATGGACCTTCTATTCTATATACAAAAATGCTTCTGAAAAACTTAGGTTAGAGTATTAAATTGATTTACTGCTTGATAAGCAAGTATCAGTATTATTGGTAATAAATACCCATATACAATTCATTCAATATATTGCTGAAATTGAATGTCGAATAGGGTAAGAACTCTTTAACACATCTAGGATTGTTAGCTACTGTTATAACATAAAAATTTTCTATGAACATAATAGTTTAGTTACTTTTTAAACTTGAACGAAAACAATTAAATACACTACTTACATCAATAGTCGCATCATCTTCTAATTTAAATTCACCAAGATCAGAGTACATTGTCATATAAGTTTTAAAACAAGTATTTCTAAAATGGAAGAAGAGATCCAACATATCTGCACAATTACTGCATATATACTTGGAATACTGATCCTCTGGTGACACCTAAAATAAAGAGGGACAACTCATTTGATAAGAAGATTCTTCAGTTAGGAAAAATATCAAGATATTTGAAATTAATAGAAGATACCATCAGAGAAGTGCATATCATTATTTTGGCACTTAAAGAAACCCCATCCTCTCTAGTATCGAAAATAGACTCTTCAGTTATATCATAAGACATACAAAGTCGACATTTTTCTTCTTTGTCATATTCCATCGTTAATCAATAAATAAAAACTGTGCATTCAAGTTGTTTATTATAACCTTCCTTAGTCAGGTTCTTAACACTGAGTGACCATGGTATTTCAATTACTTTTTCTTTTTTTTTTTTTTTTTGAACAGAATTTGGAAAAGACTGATATATATATTCTCAAAGTGTCCATTGATATTATCAACAATTTTTCTAAAGTCATGATATATATTACAATCCTCAACAGTTGACCTTTTTGATAATTAAGTTCCTATTTCATTTCTATTCAGTCCAATTATTTCTACACCCTTAATTTCAAAGGCAAATCAAGTCTTACAAAATTTCAAAGAGTAAAATAAATTTTTCATTAATCTCAAATCAAGATTAAACGTTTTTAATTATCGACACACACTAATAACTAATAGTCGACAACTAGTAATCGATCAATCAATTTTTCAAGCAGATAATAATAATAATAACAATAATAATTGTGATATGCATTTCAAATTTTAAATATAGTTTAATTTATAATCATCAAAGTTGTTTTAATTTTTTTTAGTGAATAAGCAAAAGGAAAATGGAATGAAAATATGAAATTCCATTCTTCGACAATCTTTGATGTTAATCGATTAAAACTGGAGAGCGCTACCATATACTTTTTGTTCAGCTATATTATCTGACCATTGAGTTTTGTGAAATCTTCATTGATGTCTGTTATAACTATAAAATGAAATATGAAGAAAACGTCGCTTACTTTGGTATGTTTCAATATAATCTAAAGGCCAGTTTAGACATTTCATAAACTATGACGTACACAATTATTACAATAGTACAATTATCTACATTGACTAATAGCGACATTATTGCTAAACCAAACTATTTATTTTATTTCTCTTTGTACCGACAGCAGATGGAAAATATTAAAAACAAGTAAAAAAAAATACTAGTGTATTGAAATAACCATTTATATATATCTGTTTGTACCATAGTTTGTGAAATGTTTAAACCCGGCTTTACATTTTATTTATTAATTATATTTTATTGAAAGAGATATTTGTATTCATGTCCAAATCATTGAATTAAATTGGTATTCCAAGTACTATTTGAGAATGGTACAACAAGGGTATCTCAATGCATTGAGTTCGTAGTTAAGCTTTTTCGCGTTTTTCTTATAGACACCGGTTCATTTGTTAAAAACGTACTTACATGGACGAGTCTGCGAAAAGTGACCGCTTTTTTTTTAACAAAAAAGTTTGTTGTTTAAAAAACAAAACAGAAAATAGTTATGTAGAGATGGTTGACCGTTAATATAATATGAGAAGGAGTTAGTCGAGGGTGGGGGTAAATAAAAAAATTAAAATATATAAATTATTTTAAATTTTGCCGACGTTTCGACCCACTTTGCAGGTCGTCTTCAGGGCGTAGGATGTGGCACTGCGGGAGGCAGTTGAAACACTGCCAGCAGTTATCCTATGCCCTGAAGACGACCTGCAAAGTGGGTCGAAACGTCGGCAAAATTTAAAATAATTTATATATTTTAATTTTTTTATTTATTTGACCGCACCCTCGACTAAAATAGAAAATAAATCTACCAAGTAAGGTCAGTATAGCTTTCTCACCATTTTCTTTGGTTACACAATCCTATATATTATTTCTAAAAGGTTTTTTTTTTTTGTCTGTGCGCCTCAACTTCAACAATTCTTCATCAAATCCAATGATTGACCAATCATTTTGAAGATATTCTTCTCCTTCACAAGCGAAAAATAGTCTTATTCCCCTCAAATTTCTGGGGGAAAAAAATATGAAGGAAAAGAAACTTTATTTGCGAATAACTCAAAAAGTATGCATTTTTTTTCTTGATTCTATCCATGATAATTAGAAAGATTACTAAATTACCTACAAAACAAAAACAAAAAATCGGGCAATTATTAACAACGATACAGTCCATTAGTTTTGTTATACTTAATAATGTCTTCTGTTTTAAAGATATTGCATTTAGGAATAGAATAGTCTACTACATTTTTTTTCCTGGCTGATATATTAACTTTATTATTTTTTACAGATATTTGGTTATTCTTACATTTTATTTTTTTTTTTAATTTAGAATATCCCATGATCGGGACATTATTTCGTCTAGATACTTTTATTATCTCTCCAGTCAGCATTTAAAAATAGATCCTAGGAAAGAAATTTGTCCAAATATTTTGGTCTATTTTGTTAAACTGAATATTGTAATCGACCAAGGAAAAAATATCATTTCCTTCCTTACATAATACTTAGGAACTACTTATTTTTATATTGTTTTGCTATTTCTTCACTAAACAAAATTTTCTGCGAATTTTTTGCACGGGCCAACTAGTTGTCTTTATTTCAAGTTCAAATTTTTAGTTTGAGAATAACATATTCTGGGTCCCCAATCATTCTATAGAGGGTCTCCTAAAATTTTCAGAATTTAATGAATTATTTATTTAAATAATTAATGAAATACTTTGTTCTCTTTTCGGTTCAGAAGGCTAGTTAATAATTGGATTGATATCATGTTCTACATGTTAGCCTTAAAATCTGAAAAATAAATTTATCTCTCAATACAAAAAGTACAAAAAATTCATGTTGGGGGCCCATCGGAAGGGCCCAAAAAATTGGATGAAATAAACGAATACAAAATTTACAACGAAAAGTTCATTTGATTCATGAGCCGATTCGAAACGAAAAATGAGTTAAGACCAATTTTATGCGGTCACGTTTTTTATTGAATACGAAGGAATGGATTAAAAAAAAAACAAAAAAAAAACTGTGTAGTAACGAAAAATGCGAAAAGTAAGTTATTCTGTATAGTTTCGGAGTTTAATCATTAAATCATAGTTGCTCTAGCTTTTGAATGGTTTGAGATAAGATAGTAGAGTAATATATATTCTTAAAGAAAATTTAAAATTAAACAGCTTTCTTCTTCATGGCTTTTTCGTAAAATGAAAAGGTAATGAGTTGGAGAGTCAAATAATGATTTTTTTCTCTCGAAATTATCGATTTACGATATCACGGAAACTATAGAATATAGCGAAAAAACTAATATAACCATTTCTATTCAAAATGTTGTCAGCTTTAATTTCACATATGACATTATTATAGATAGATCGTATAGTTTCACTTAAGCGAATAACACGTCGTAAACCAACGACTTCCTGTCCTACAGTTTCCTTTAACAATACTCCACTTATCCCTGTTGAGCAAATCCGATACCTAGGACTCCACCTGGACAAACGACTAACTTGGAATCCTCATACTAGACTGAAACGACAAGAAACCGCTCGACGTTTCCGATTACTTCAGCACTTACTAGACAAACGCTCTAAACTTCCCATTAATTACAAAAGACTCATATACTTGACTATAATAAGACCTATTTAGACTTACGGAGTTGAGCTATGGGGCTCCACTAAACCATCGAATTCCTCTCGCATCCAATCCTTACAATCCAAAATCCTTCGTAAAATCCTCAATGCTCCTTACTTTGTCACTAATAAAATTATCCATAAAGATCTTAATGTTCCTTATGTTTCAGATCTGGCCCAATCCAGATACCTATCCTTCCATAATAAACTTCAGAATCATCCCAACCCTCTCGTTTCTAACCTTGCTTCCTCTTCAATTCCTGATAACCCTCCGAGGCGTCTGATAAGAATATGGCCCCGTGATCTAATGTAGTCATATCATTAGAGTGCTACCATTGGGTAGTTACTCAGCAAGTGTATTCATGTCATTATATCAATTATGTCCAAATTTACTTGATATATTTATGTAATACAGTTGTAAATGTCATAAAGAAATAAAAAAAAAAAAAAAGCGAATAACGTAAACTTTTGAGTCGTAAACTCAATTTTTCGACTTGAAATCCACGTGCAGGGTTAACTGATTTCATGCCTTAAGATTGTAATTACTATAGCGTTGGTAGCTATATATATCTATAATCTCTCTCTATATTCACACTCACAACCTATTTAGGGTCGCTATCTATCTTCACATAGGCATAAAGGTGAATAGTCGATTTTTAAACACTTTACGTTTTGCAGATGACATTGTACTTTTTGCCGAAAATTCCCGACTACTGCGAGAAATGCTAAAACACCTTCTACTGGCCTGTCAAGAAATTGGTGTACACCCAAATTACAATAAGACAAAACTAATGACCAATAGTTCAAAGAAATAAAAATGGACAACTTCACCCTGGAATACGTCGAGAAATATGGTTACTTGGGACAGTTAGTTTCATTTTCAGATGGAGTTAAAAAAGAAGTCCAGAAGAATAGCATTTGGTTGGAACAAGCTGGTCTCTGAAGTATATAACAAAAGGAAACATAAGTATCGACCTAAAAAGGCTAGTTTTCGATAGATGTATTCTGCCAGTGGTGACCTATGGCTCCCGAACATGGTCATTGACAAAAACCCAAGAGAGAGAGAATTCCTTGATCAAGGTGTGGCAAAATATCATCGAAAGAAGCATTATGAATGTGAAGAAGATGGACAAAATCAGATGCAAGAAGAAACAGGGCTCAAAGACAAACTCAATGGAAATTGGCTGGACATCTCCTGCGATACAATGATAATAGATGGTCAAAAATAGTCCCCGGATGGACCCCATATGACCGGAAAAGGATGAGAGGTCGACAAATGAAGAGATAAAAGTTTCTTTATAAATTATAATAATGTAAGAGCAAAAGCAATAAAAATGTAAAAAATTGTTTTATTTTTTTGGTTTCTTATTTTCAATAATGAAGCATTGTGATCGAAAAAAAAATTCAAGAACTTAACCTCCTCTCAAACTTTGAGGTTTCACATTTCAGGATACGTATAATTCGAAAAACGATTTATTTGTCCGTCCGCCGTCCGCGCATTTTCTCCGATACTACTGGACCGATTTTTTTTTTTTTTCATATTTGGACATAAAATCAGAAGTCACTCGAGGATGATTCTCCTTCATCGACATCACTATCCGCCTTTTACTTTCAAAATGGCGGCCGAAAAACCTGCGTTGCTATAGATTGTAGCTCCTATACGAATGTACCGATTTCAATGAAACTTCGCTAAAGTCAAGTTTTGGATATAAAATCAAAGTGTGTCTCTAGTTTTTTTTTTATATGTTCTACTGCAAAGGTTATATATATCTTTTATTTTTGTTTTTGAATTTTGAATGTGTTACTGAAGTAATGATATTTTTTTAGCATATTAATAATGATTAAAAAAAAAAAATTAGTCCAATAATTGGAATCACCTTTTATTTATAACTAGGAAGGTAATGTTACCTTAGATGTATAATTGTTTGGAAATAATAAACCATTGTGAAATAATTTGCAGCGTTTTTCTTTTGTAATTGTATATTTTATAGAAATTGTAATATTTATGCATAAAT